GCATGTTCAGTTCCTTTTCCCACATTCAACAATGAAGTCACTTAGTGAAAACCAAGTTGTGCAATTTGTCATCAGGGAAAATAAACATCATCTTAGAGGATATTCTTAACTTTAAAAAATTAAAATGTAAAAGATGTTTTCCATTATATTTTTTCTCTGTCTCAAAAAATACAAATTCAAGCCCATACTTTTCTCTAGGAGTAAATCAAGTACTTCTGAAATCAAACTATATTTTAGAAGCAATGCATGCTTCAGAAAATCCTTGAATTTAAGTGGATTCGCTATTTGTTCTTGAAGCCAGTAAGGAATAGGTATTGCTAGTTATGCTATCTTCAGTTCATATATTAGAAAATGGAAAATAGGAGTGAATTGATTTATTTATGGTTAATGCAAAACAGGACACCATGAGACCTCTTGCCTCTCGTTGTAGTATTATAGTTGTTTCCTCAGTTACATTTATTTCTCCATGAAATTACTTTTCATTTTCATCTTACTAGTGACTTGAGAATATAGTTCTAAATAAAATGCAATTTTACAGTGAAGTATCCTTATTGAAGGCAGGCTGCTTTTTCTACAACCAGCTTTCTTAATGGTGGCGCTCCTGAGGATTTGGTCTCAAGCTCTTCTCTCACTACACTCATTCCCTAGATGAAGTGATGTCTGTATTTCCCATATCCTTTCTTTCAGGGAATTGTTCCTTCTCAATGCCATATGATGTGGTAGAGCTGTCATTCAAGGTGCCCCACTTCACCTGCCATAGAAGAGGCCCAAACTGGACTTTCAAGTCTCCTTCCATGATTTTGTGATAAACAGAGACTATTTGGGGAATGATATGACTGCTGGGAGAGAAAAGATGTTGAAACCACCATAGAAGCTTGGAGCCGGCAGGGGCTTTCTGAAAAACGACACTAAAAGAGAGGGAAACAGACAAAACCAAAACACACAGTATCTACACATACATGTATAGGTATATGTAGATAGATAGATGGGAGAGACAGACAGCGAGAGAGAGACAGACAGCAAGAGAGAGAGAGAGAGAAAGAAAGAGAAAGGGGTGACAAAGGTAAAGAGACTCACAGATAGAAAGACAGAGGGAGAACTGATATTCTCATTTAAACATTAGGCAGCAGATGTGCCAAAAGCTCAGCTCTTGCCCTTTTTCAGTTTATGAGTTAAGAAATGCCTTTTTGTTTAATCTGGTTTTTTGTCTCTTTCCACCAGGAACAGACTACTATATTCATTGTACTTACTCATTCACATATGCTAACTACTTACATTATTACATTTCACTTTGGACTATAATTTCTAGATTCATATCTGTGAATGTTCTTGTCTTTCTGCTTGTACTGCACAACTGAGAGGCAGATGTACCTACCATATTCCAAAGCCAAATAACTGGTTTCTTCCCTGAACCTAGTCCTGCTTCATGCTTTTGCATCTGAGTATGCTAGCACCACCGTTCAATTGCTAAGGTCAGAAAGCTAAAGCTCAACTAATTATTTGCTTCCTCTCACTATCCCTACACCCAAACATCATAACTTGCCATTCTTACTCCCCAAATAATACATGAACTTTTCTACATCTCTTCATTTTACTGCCTCAACCACAGTCCAAGCCAATGCTTCTCTCACTGTATTGAAAGCCTCATCACTTTCAATTCTGATTCCCTATAATCCATTATCTGTACAGTACTTAGAAAGATCATCTAAAAATATAAACTAGGTCACTTCAGTCTCCAGCTGGGTAACTTGCACTTGCTTTCCATTGCACATAAAGTAAATCTCAAATTCCTTATCATGGTCAAAAATACTTTGAAAACTCTAATCTTGTCTTCTCCCAGCCTTATACTATGTGGCCCATACACTGGCACCATACACACACTTCCACTCTTTGCTCCTCCCTTCCTTTGGTTAGATGCAGCTCTTCCTTTATAACTCAGTTGAAATTGTTCCTCCTTAGAACAACTCTGACCACCCAAGCTAAAAGAAATAATTACTAACAACATAATTCTCTGTCAGAACTCTTTTATCATTTGTTTCAAATCATACATGTAATTATTTGTCATTTGGTTGGTTTTCTTTTTGCTTCCCTCAGTAGACTGCACTATAAGTTTCCTGAATAGAAGAATCATAACTCCTGTTTACCACTAAACACACTGTGTTTAACTCAATGCTAGCTACACAGACACTCAAAAGAAGTATCTGCTGAATAAAAAAGCAACAAATGTATAACAAATGAATGGATTATATAGGATTAAAAAGTTTAGAATAATTATTAAGAAGTAGATGGATTCATTTAGAATAATATGGGAAGATTGCTTTGGAATAAATGGCTCATGAATTTTACCATCAGCAACAGTTTTGAGGACAATGAGAAGAAAGGAAATAGCCTTATTAATAAAACCTGGATGTGTGTGTGTGTGTGTGAGTGACTGTGTGTGTGTGTGTGTGTGTAAAAAGGAGCATGCAATATGCACACAGATGCCTACTAGGGATGTGAATGGAGGCTAGAAGTGCAAGGAATGGAAAATAAACCTTAACAGGGAAAGTGAGACAAAATTGTATAACTCATTGAATAACACACTTCATTTACTTTGGATAGAACTACAGTTGTAGGTGTAATGGCAGATCCATATGAAGCAAATTGCTTTGGTGATGGAATGAGAAGGTAATAGGATTTGATGCAGTAGTAAAATTTACAAACCTTAGTGACAAAAGAAATGTTATGTGTCCACAGAGATGGAAGAGTCAAAGCCTATTTAAAGATGTGAGTTCCATCCACAGAGATAGGAAACCTGGGAAGCTTGTGTGAGAATTGGGAGGAAGTCAATGAAATTATGAAATCATAAACATATACATTCACAAACAGATACTAGAGCCCAGCTCAAAAGTCAAAGATAAATAGGATAACCAGCAACAACTGCTAAAAGGAAATTTATTGAGCATGGACTCTAGGCTGATGGTACCACTTAGGGCTAAATTTACAAAATAGAATTCAGACATCTCTTGCAAAATTAAAATATTTATAAGATCATTAGGAATTAGGAGGAATCTTATGTTCATAAGTGCACCTTCATGGTTTCAAGCACCTCAGATCCAATTATCTAGAACTATTATAGCCAGCAGGAAAATGCTGTTTCGATGTTTTCTTGCCACTGCCGAGGCCACAGCCACCCCACATAGAAAGCTGGTGACTTGACAGTAAATGTAAGAGTCCAATATACTCTCCTGCAATATGACATGTGTACACTGGTGAAGAAAGGATACATTGCCTCCTGCTCCTTTCTGCCTTCCAAGTATGGTATCAGTGGATATCTTTGGTAGAACCTAGCCTGAACTTTCATGGAAAGTATGCCAGAAAAATGCAGTAGACCTTATGTTTCAGAGACTGAGGGGGGTGTTATAATATAATGGACTGAATGTTGAGTGACAGCAAAGAAGATGATTTTCTGCAAAATGGGCTTTGGGTAAATGGTTACGCACACATTTTATTATGCTTTGGTAAGAAGTAGTAGATCATATCAATGCCCTCATAGTTTAGCTAAGAATTCAAAGACATAGAAACACTGAGCAACTTGAATATGTCCACATGTAACAGATAGGGGGATCCAAGATTTATGTTTGGGTATTCTGATTCAAAACCACATTCCTTAGTGCTGGAGAGCTAAAGCATGCTAACTGAGCAAAGAAGGATACTTTGTCTAGACTTTGAGGAAATTCATAAATGCATGAAATGAGTAGATGAGGCAGAGGCAGTAGCTGGGAGTGTTTAGAAAGGGATTAGAGGTGTTACGAGTAGGCACTGCACTCAGTCAGAAGGGGTTGAACTCCTATGAATGAGCGGGGTGTTTATGATGATTTGTTTGAATAATGGAGACGTCATTATATTAGTCAAAAGGTAGGTCCTCATTATAACTGCTGTTCTTTAACTTGAAACTAAAAGCTACAGTGAAAAATGAGCTCATATGGATCTGAAGATAAGAGAATAGCTTTTCACAGATCAATGTGGCACACTCCTGATATTCTACCCAAATGTGCTTTGTCCCTAACCCTTCCTCTTTTGACTATGAAAGGATCTGTTCATGATTCTCCCTCATTCATCAAAATCATTGCAAGAACACAGAATTCATTTCTCATTTTACAGGTATAGAACCACAAAATCAGGCCCATGTGGTTACATTAGCTTAGAAAAAGCACTGGCTTCATCAGCTCCATGGATGTTTAAAATAACAGTACTACTACTTCATTCGGGCTACTCTCTGGTTGTATGGTAGGCAGCATTTTGCTGTAACTCACGGTACATTGTTTCATATTGGGCTCCTCTAACATCCATCCTGCTCAGACATAGAAGACACATCAGTATAAACACATACTGATGATGATGACATATAACAGAATTGTTGCTAGATCAGCTATGTTTTTGAAACACTCCAGAAGGCAAAAGCTCATCCTTCACATATGCTCAAGGGCCTCATTTGGTTAATGCCTTTGCAACAAGATCTAATGAAAACTTTTTGGAATTTGCCTTCTACTATTAATTGCTATAATGAATCATCAATGACCAGATTCAAACAGTCTGTAGAAAAAAAATTCACGTTGGTATATCCAAATTACTACACATTATCTTGACAAGAAAAATCAATGGTTTGCTTAATGTTGAAGCATTGACACCTGGTTCTTGAACGTTTTTTAAAGTTGTGGTTGATCATGTCTCCACAGAACACAAACCCTGACTGAACAGTGCAACCCACTAGTGAAAATGAGACTCACTTAGTATAAATGTAGGCTTTGGACTGTAATTTTGATCCTGCAGAAAATTAGCCTATTCTCTTTGAAACTTATGTTGCTCTTTTGATATTCCAATTCGTGTTTAAACAATGTAACACTGATGGAGATGAAACATAATATATAATAGGGAGAAAAAACAGAAACATAAAAAATAAAATATTTATTTAAACAAAAATATACACACAGTGTACAATGAATATGGTTTATATCGAACAATAAAACAAAAATGATATTTCTTCAAATATTAATAAAAATGTTGAACCTATTTGTGGTTCATTGACTAGGAATACACATTATTGCTTTATCTAGAATGTATATTTAACATAAAAAGAAAGCAAATGCCAACCCTTCAAATGAGTACCAGAAGAATCTGAAAATTTGATGCTAGGTTAAATAGAATAATGAAATGTTCACACAGAAAGTTATGCATCAAAAGGATTGTAGCATGCTGTGAATGTGTGTCTATACAGTTCTCAACTTATGCAAGCTGCCTTTTGAAAGTGTGGAAACTCTTCAACAAGAAATAGTTGATATAAAAGTATCAGAACAATTATATAGATAGTATAGCATCTTGGCAAAATTTGTGCCACCAATGTCTGCAAATAAAGAATTACCACAGTAAGTCATCACTAAAGATATGCCATTGGACTATGACCTTTTACAACTGGGCAATAATTTAGATGATTTTAGCAAATTGTGGATACATTCATAGTATCAGTGTGAAAGAATAACACCTTCCTAAATAACTGTTTTTAACAAAAGATAGTTTATTAGTATATATACCATTATATATGGTTTCTTAGGCAACATCATTTATATTAGGTCTTTATTTTGATATTGATTCTCTCTTGGTACTAAATTGTGAATTTGTTTATCTTTTAAAATTTTTAATTCCAATTATGCATGCTTGAATTAAAAATTCAAGGTCAATAACCCTGACTGGATGTACCATTTTAGGAATAATACTACCTTATACTTTTTTTCTTTTGCTTTGTTACTAATAGCCAGATATAATTTCTTTTAAATCAGAAATGGTTTGGACTTTCACTTGCTTAGAAATTAAATTCAAAGAGTGATTAATGTGCACCATTTCTTAGAAAGAGAAAAAGCACATTTCTTATCCTTACTTCTATACATAATTGGCCTGTCAGATTTTATCTAATACATTTGATTTTGTTTTCCTGTTTTTAAAGACAGTTTTGTTATGGGTAGCACCTTTGTGTGCAAAGTTCTAATTTAAAACTGCCATAGAAACAAAAGATATATATTGGAACTTTCTTTACAAAGCTAAGAAACAGAAACATGGAGGGGAAAAGCATAACTTATGCAGATTGCAGCTGGGTTAAATGAACGGGGATTTATGCTAAAAATGTCAATCAACTGCATCAATTATTAGCAAATTATTCTTTGCAGTGCATAATTTTAAAGCTCCCAGCTATTAGGAATGCTCTGTGTTCCCTCCGCAACTGCTGATCACAGTTTCTCTCAGACCAGTTTCTCAAATCTGTGATAAAAGTTAATGTACTCCTTAAAAGATTACAAAATGTGCCCTGTATATTGAAGTACAATGTGTTACTCAGAAATCAGACACCTACAAAATCTGTGGTGCTTTATCAGACTTCCAGAGTTTTATTTGTTTGAAATAACAATTTGAGTTTCAAATGAGCTATATTTATTAGAATGTAGGTACAGTAATATGTTATAGTTTTCCTTCTTTTATCAAAGGCCAAAATTAAAAACTTTTAAAAATGATCATAAAACACATTTTCGGGATACTCGACTAAGTCAACATTTCTCTGAATTTGGTTCTGAATTGTTGCTCATTACAGCTGCATTGCTAGCCCTCTTTTCAACACAACATTGATGGGTTCTTAAACATCCTTATCATTTAATAACTTAATTGTGAATAAAATATGTTTCAATGAGAATTGGAGTCCTTAAAGAGGATAAAACCCCTAACATCTATCTGAAAATGACTTGTTACATTTAATGCCATTTAATAAGTTTGTCTTACATTTAATAAGTTTGTGTCATTCCACTATGCACTAGTATAGGTTTAACAACTGGCTTTCCAGGAACTAAATGTCCTAGTTTATAGCGTTTTTCAGTTACCCTGGTGTAAATATTCCCACAGTGGCTAATTTCACGATGCCAATGTGGTATTTCTAGTTGTGGCGGCGTCAGGAAGAGATCCGACCATAGCATGTTATTATATAACAGCTCCACAGAAAAGACACACAAGAGCTTGCTAAACCCAAAGCACAGATAAATAGCAAAATTTAGTAAATTAGCAAGTGGTAAGCTTTGATTATCAATGTTAGTTTTAATAAAATGTATCCAATTGTATTTCATAATTTAATATATAATCATGGTTGTGTGTAGCAACCAACTTATAAAATTCCTAATAATTTAATGATCAATTCTCACAAGGCAACAAGATCCAGTTCCAGCATACCAGTGTAACCTTCTCTCTGGGCACAGTATCAACCCTCACATAGAGAGGGATTTGACTTGTTTGGAGAGAGAAAAGCATGATGACTCTACACAAATCACAGTTTCTGATTTTTTTCCTTTTCAATCTTGAGTCTCATTTTATGAAAAACAGCATACTTAAAGAAAAAAAAGGGAAGCATCCTCTGTGTAATGCTAGCTTTCAAGGCTTCACAGTTTTTCAGAAGAAGTGATAGTCTTATAAATGGCTAGAGGTTGGCCACATAGAATATTGCCCTAACTGGACAGTAGGCTGTTTTAGAATCATCCAATCCCTGAATCAAATGGTTACTGTGACCCCATGCACTATGGGACTGACTAAATTATTTGCATGCAAAAGATGTTTTAGCAGTGTGGACACAAAACTCAAGGCAATGTTTGCAAGGAAAAAAATGTGAAAAACTAATAAAGCAGTAAGAATCTCCTTCAGTTAAACATATCCATCTTGTGTGTTTAGCTAATTGAGGGAATATTTCTGTGCTTTGGACCTTTTGTCACCATGTCACCCATAATCAGGGTGTACCTTTCTGTGTCTTTAAATATATTTTTTTCTAGAGCTCTGTAAACAGTCCATCAAGAACTGATACTTGCACTTGATGATAGTAGAAGGGAAACACATGTCTGAGCAAAAAAACCTGTGTGGCTTAGAAATGTCATTTTCTTGGTTCATTTTTTGGCTCAACATGAGCTCCTTAAATCAGCCTGCTGGTGTATCTTTTAAATGAAAATATAGACAGAAAAGCATGAATGTGGCTGTGTTTGTACAAGGGAGCCTTTAAAACTCTTTTGTTTAACATTTGATTCAGAAAACCTAGATAATAACAAAATAGTGCAGAGGCTTTCAAGGATGTTTGGACTATCTCTCAGTAAAAGAGCAATACTGTTTATGCAAAATAAATTTTCTTGGTAAAATCCACTTTCAGAAATATGCACAAATGTAGGCTTTCTCTAGGAAATGTTCAAGATTATGGTAATAATGAATGAAAATTCATATGTATTTGCATTACAGAAAGCTCTACTCTTCAAGACTTCTATACTAGCATTTATTTAAAAAGAAAAAAAAGCTATAAAATATCTTCTAAAAATAGAAAACCCTACTGTTGGTTTGTAGATAATAAATACTTTTTCCTGTATTTAAGTTAAGAGGTTTTATTTTTAAAAATATAAATAAGAACTATTGTCTTAAAATTATGTTGCTAAAACACATAAGGTGTCTTTGAATCCAGACCACCATTTGTTACATGAGAAAAGCTTCAAAGCTATTCCAGAAGACCTCTGTCATCCCATTCTTTTTATTTTCAATTCAATAGGATAATGAAAATAATTACAAATTCTACTATATTGAAATAAAATGAAACAATTCAAAGATTGTATTTAATCACTGAACTAGAGAATAAGTTATAACAGAATATCAAGATAATTTTCCGTGAATAAATCCAATGTACACAGCTCATTTTCATTTAAAAAGCTGTAAAAAGTTTGACAACTGCTTCAATAATACCTACAGGTTATTTGCTAAGATGATAAATTATTATCAATTTATCATGAAGTCTCAAAATATTATCTTAAATTTGTAGCAATTTGAAAAACTCAACATGGGGCTGGAGATCTGTTCAAATTCTATGTCACCAAGCATTTTCGGCAAGGACATATCATATCAGCTACAGAAAGCCTCACAATGTCATCCATTGAATGTGTTGGTCACAGCTAAGAGATGTCTCTGCAATAAGCCTCTGGCATTTCCAAAGAAGATTAATGCTTTGGATGGCATACTTCAATGATGACAAAACAAACAAAAAAAATTAACATTTAGAAGAAAATAGGTTTCCTTTATTCAGATTTTTGTACGCTAAACTTCAACACTAGTGGTAAATCCTAATTCTATTTAAAGCCTTCTTCCTCAATTTTCATGCACTCTCCAAATAGCATAGTAATTTGGAGAAGAGACAAACCACCATGGGCTAGAAAGATAAGAAGAGTGAGAAGTAAAAGAGCAATTGCAACCATGATTCTGCAATTATCTAACTAGATGACTGATTGGCCATAATTTACCAAATTTTTGAATAATAGTTTTATACAAGTTGATCTCCAAGGAAATTACTAATTTGGAATGTTGGAAAACTTATAACTGGTTTTATTTTACTGAGTAAAGACAAAGGTGAAATTCAAGTTAATATAAAATTGTGTTGGTTTGCATTAGTTATGGTTATATAGGTTATGTAGGTCTCAGATGTTTAGTCATACATAATAACCTGTGCCAGACCACACACTCACACCCATGTGACTGAGAGAAAACACTTCAAAGATTTTTTTCCCTGACTTTCTTATACTTCGCTATGGAAAGTTCAGTCTGATGGGGATTTTCATTTGTGGCATCAACAGGCCATTCACCTTTCTGTCCCTTGCAGTGTATTGCCTATTACACTGTTAAGTGTTCTGCGTTGTCACTTCCACAGTTGAGTCACACAACCCACATTGGAGCTTTGAAAAGATATCATAGTCTTGAAATGTAGATTTACTGTTGTACTAACACTTTTCCTCTACCTCTTTAGGAACTGGAGTCACAGCTGGACTGGATGACAAAGTTCTTTACAAACACCTGTACACTGCCTACTAGTCAAGGTCGAATTGACTTTACCTAATTTAGATTTGCTAGACTGATATTTCATAAAGCCCAAAAATGTGCTCTAAGATTGTCTGTGATCAAGGATATAAAGTAGAATCACAAAAACTCTCTCTCCCCTTTTCGCTCGACTCTCTTCATTTTGGTGGGGAATATCACTCTCTGAATCACCTCTGGTCCTAGGGAAGCATTTTCTTAGATAATTTTTCATTGAAATACTCCATGAATGAAGTTTACACTTTCTGAAGTAATCTCAACCAGGGAGGGTGAGTACAAAGTAACTTAGAACTAGATAAGATGTTAAAATTGGGTTTCTTTCACAAGAAAATGCTAATAATTATTCAAGTAGTTCCTTCATTTGGACAAACGTCCATGAATACTTCTTGTTCATAAATTCAAAATCAATAAAAAATTTTTTTAAAAGACCAAAGTAGAGATTATCCAACTGAAATGCATTGTGTTCCTGTTTATTGTTGGTAAACTTAGGTGTCAGCCTTTCCGTAAGTCCCCTCTGGAGGTCGGTAGAACTTGGGGAATGCCATCAGCTGTAGCATGTTGAAAGCGTACTTTCTGCATTTGATATTCTTCAGTACATTTTCTATGCGGCATCCTTCTCTGGTAAAAGGGGAGAAAGTACAACTTCATGAAACACAGAATAAATAAATAAGCTTTATTTGTTCAATGCAGAGTTGCCGCAACAGTCCAGGTAAAAATAACAAAGAGTCAACTCTACATTTTTTTTCACAAGTGATGATACATCTTACAAAATTAAATCCTAGGCCAGGCTAATACCATTATTGCCCTCGGAAAAAGATGATTAAAGTCTCTTTGTTCTTAACACATATTTGAGGTTTAATAAACTCTTTAAATATAATTTGATTCACAATACAACTTCACTTTAGTTTTCATAAATATATCTGCCTTTTTATAACTTTTCCACAAATTAATTTCTTCGTTTATTTAAAACACATTAAAATCTATATGTAGCCCTAAGGATGCAGGTTCTAGGAATAAGGCATTTAATTTATTAAGTCTGGCCCTATAGATTTTTAAAGGAAAGTTTCATCTCTGTTTGACTTCATTATTTTAGCTGTGCAATGAAGAGATAAAATGGCTTTCTGAACAGCCTGGTCCAAGTCTCAGCTTTGTGAAGGAAGAGGGCTTGTCCACCACAGTACAAAAGTCACAGGTGCTAAAAATGGCGCAGAAAGACACAATGAGACCTTGTAAAAAGAATAGAAAAGTACTCGGAAATCAACCAAAACAATAGTTACAAAAAGGTTAATTTAATTACAAAACATAAATAGCCATTCTTTCCAGAAAGGTACTTGACAGAAAAGAGTTAAGTAAAGCAGAGAAATAAAATAACTAAGGTTAAAAAAAATCAAACAAAAGTTTCAGCTGATGGCAACTATGTTGTTAGCACAGTGGAAAAAAAGTCTGTAACCTCCACATCCCTAGGACTTATCTCAGAGTTTCAGTGTGTTGTGCAAATTCAGTCTTAATTTCTTTAATAAATTTAACAGGAAGAGGAAGAGGAGGTTCAGAACTTCAAGCTTTCAGGATTCTGTCCTTTGTCTTATTCCAAAGACAGTAATTTAAAAATTCTTCTTGAGCTAGTTAACAGTGGGGAAACACTTTTCCATGAACAAAAGAGCGGAACAATTCACTTAATGCATAGTACTTTTCCTTTTGTTGATTTTAAGAAAAACAAAAACACAATTCAAACATTTTTTGAATTCTGTGAATCTGAAAATGTAGAAATATTACAGCATTGTCCCCAGAATTTAAAGTCCATTGTCATTTGTAGAAAAAAGGAATACAACATAAAACTTATTGGTATTTAGCTAATAGTAACGCAAGACTTAAAATAAGCCACACGACCAGCAGGTGTGAGCTGACAAGCAGCAAGGCGACAGGATAGAAGTGCCGAGAAGTTGGCTTGTTATCAGTTAGACAGCCTGTTTCTGGATCATCGGATTCATTCAGTGCTCCCTGGGATTGTCTGCTGTTGAACAGGAAGGAGTTAGGAGAGAAAAGATAATAGTATAGCATCCACACAGTAAAGAAATTCAGCCTTACATACACAAAGACTCAACACATTATCATACAATCAACTGTTCTGATGAAGATTTATGCCAAATAGCCTAGTGCATTCTGTGTATTGTTTTCTCACTGTACAGCATTGATAATGCACACACATATGGATATCTATCTATCTATCTATCTGTCTTTATCGATCATCTATCTGTCTATCTAATCTATCATCTATCATCTATCTATCTCTAGCTCTTCATTTCTCTATCTATATCTTTCTACCTATCTCTATCTATCATCTATCTGTCTATCTAATCTATCATCTGAGTGTCTGTCTGTCTATATAATCTATCATCTATCTGTTGGCAGTACTGGGGCTTGAACATGGGCTTGCTAGACAAGAACTTTAGCACTGAGACTCCAGTCTGACAAAAATATTTTAAAAAGAAGTTTCCTTTTGCTTTTTGCACAAGCAGGAAAAAATGCTATGATATTATTTATGTGGGTTGAATCTGTATGTACCAGGAATAATCAAACAAACATGATAGCACCACTAAACAAGACTGTGAATAAAACTCAAATAATAAAACTAACCTGGTAAATAAATCTTTGGGAAATAAGGATGAAATCAAACACAGGATGCAGTGAAACAAACAGATGTGTCTGACACATTTAAACACACCTTGTACTGGTATTGTACCTATACAATGCATTTAAAATCGTAAAGATGATTTACTGAAATGATTTGGTCTTTAAAATGAACAAAGCACATGACATGTCATTCTCACCAGCCATAACAGTAGTTTAACTAAACCCTACTCTGTGCCCTTCTATTAGTTCAGCTATAAATAATCTTGTCTTCTGCTAATCTTAGCTAGACAGGGCCAAATCTATCTCTTATGGACTTCTGATATGAAAGAAGGTGAATAATAGCAGAGTCATACTTCAGAAAAAAAGATTTAAATTTCCAGATTATTTTCTGTGCGAGTAAAATAAAATTTGTTGTAAAGTAGCTCCCACTATGACAAACCTGAAATATACCACAATGATAGAAATTGAAAATAAATTTCCTTCCTACAGGACTCAGAACATTCCAGAATTTCAATTGCATTTAATGATTAAGAGGTGATTTAATCTCTTCTAGCTCCTCCTATGTTTTCAGGCAGAAAACTGGTTGCTGCTGTCTTATGAAAGGTGCCATGCAAAAGGAACTTCTATACGAGATCCTTAACCATGGTTCCTTTGTGACCCTATGCAGTCCCTGAAGCCTTGCTGTGCAATAATTTTTGTCCACGAGCTGCCTACACCAGTGACCACATTTGTACAAGTAGCATTCATAGTTATTTCAAACAGCAATTTGAATCAGTTTTAAAACACCAAATCAACTGTGCTGTGCTATAGACTGGGGTTTCCTTCCTAAGTTAGGACCAGAGAAGTAGGTAATCAGTGACAAAGTAGATTATCTGGAAAACAAATGGTTTATTGAGCAAAAGGGGTTTATTTTGGACTCACACAAGTCATATTGTACATTGTACAAGTAACTTGGTTGCTTGTTTAACTTTTCTCTGCATACTTGGTGGGAAGTATACCATATATTTTAATTTATTGATACATTTGAATATGAATAAGGTAAGCCACCTTACTTTTTATTATTTCCTTTATTGGTTTGAAATCTCTACATTGCTGATGAATTACTGAGAAATCATTTATTCATTCATTCAATATTCTTTAGGGTCTTCTATAAGCCAGTCACTGCTGTGGACACAGGGAACACAGTGGTGAATACATTAGATAGAAACTTTGTGAAGTTTGCTTTTGAGTTGGAGGGAAGCACAGAAAAAAAAGAAAGAACAATATATGGCAAAGCACTAAGGAAGAAGTAATCAGGGAAGAGCATTCTATGTATCTAAACAGGGGATGATAGAAGCTCTCACAAGAGGCCACCTGATCAAAAACTGAAGACGGGAAGAGAAGAACTCATGTGGAAGCTCAATTAGTACTTTTTGTTGTTGTTGTTGAGGTAATACATTACCCAGTAGCTCTCCGATATAAAAGGAGTGGTCATTTAGGCTGGAGGACAAAGGGGCACGAGGAAGGAAGTGACTCCAGTGAATGGGTAGACAGACAAAGTGGAGGACAGACTGCATGGACACTATGGATGAATCTAAACACAGAGAAGAATAAGACCAGCGAGGGATCAGTGTGAATTTCCCCTCAGAGAGCCCTTCAGAACGGTCTCCAAAGGAGGACAGATGAATCCCAGGGGTGGTTCTAGATGAGGCTCTCGGGGCAGAGGACAAAGTATAAGAGCCTCAATATTGCCACTCTGTACCTCATTCTTTTAAGATTTCTAATTTTAGCCAGGTGTGGTGGTGCATATATATATTACCAGCACTCAGGAAGCAGAGGCAGGAAGATCCAAGTCCAAGGCTAGCCTGGATTACATATAAGACTCTATCTCACAAAACAACAAATTTCTATTTTTTCACATATTCTATAAATTTTATGTTAGTAGTATGACACATGTAGAAATAGTTGTGACACAGCAGTTCAGAGCACAGACTCTGGAGTTGGACAACCTATTTCAAATCCCTTTCTGTTTTGTGTTAGTTGAGAGACTTTGAACAAGTTAATCCACATGTTATATCTTTACTTCCTTATCTGTAAAATGATAATACTAACAATAAAACCTACATCCTAAAATTATTGTGAGATAACATATATAAGTCAATATTTACAAAGTTCTTAGAACAGAGAACATGCATCTTAAGGATTCACTAACAGTTACCTTTGCTAGATCATTTGGATATAAATACATACATCTTTCTGGAGTGGCTAGAAATTTTTTAACTAGAGGGGATACATAACTAAACATGGTTGCAAGCCAGTGATTCTCAGAAGTGGGTGTGCTATGGATGATACTTGAGGAGCAGGGAGCCAATGAAAACTGTTGACTTGTCTATGTAATTTCTGAAACCTACAGAATTTATTTGTGTATCACTGCCATGTCACATTTAAGCAAACAATAGCCATAATTATTTTCAATACACCACATAGCCATCTGAATTAATTTTAAATACCAAATCTGCCATTCCACAGTCTATTTGTGAAGAGCGGGTGAAAATAACTGTTCTAGCGAACATTTCTGGGAATGAAGAAAAAGCACTTTTCAAAGTTCATTCCACCCACATTCAGAGTGAAGAGCTCAGTCACAGCAGACAGACTGTGTGCAGGAATGTGAGGGAGGAAGGAGAAGGTACTGGGACAAAGGGCCGTGAGTCAGGGTAGATGGAATAGCATTGCTTGCCTTTTTTTTTTTTTTTTCTAACACCAGCTGTTGTAGCTACTAGGTACATAAATTTTAGCAAACAATCTTTTTCTATCACAATTTCTTCATATACACAGAAACTGAAGAGTTGTTGAAAGGATTAAATAAGATGATAAAAAATATTTAGTACAGTACAAGGCAAAAACTAAAATCTGAATAAATATTAGTTAATATAATTATTATAATCAATATCATCCTCGCTAACACTTTTTCTTGATCTGTCTTGTTTTAAAGTGAAGTTTATGTATAG